CCAACTTTGTCCACATATCTATTCAGGTGACACCATCATAGGACCTAATCACATCAGCCACGCTATCAGGGGCTCGTTCACCTGCACATCTACCAATGTGATATAAATGGACACAAATCTGACATCAGGAATCATAACATTCAAAAATCAGTAGGAGAACACTTCAACCTCTCTGGTTACTGAGTGACCAGAGAGGTTGAAGTGTTCTCCTACTGGTTTTTACAGACTTAAAAGTGGCAATTTTGCAACAGAAAAGCTTCAGAAACAGACTCCAATGAGAAACTGCTGAACTTGAATTAATATGCAAACTAGATACCATTAACTTTGGCTTGAATAGAGACTGGGAGTGGCTGGGTCATTACACAAATGGAATCTATTTCCCTATGTTAAGTATCCTCACACCTTTTTGTCAACTGTCTGAAATGGGCCATCTTGATTATCACTACAAAAGTTTTTTTTCTCCTGCGGATAATAGCTCATCTTAATTAATTAGCCTCTTACAGTTGGTATGACAGCTTCCACCTTTTCATGTTCTCTGTATGTGTAACAGGGTGCTGGCTAGGAGATCCAAGCCAGGCCCCTGTTAGCCCGGCTCCGCTTAAAAGGGGGATTGTTAGGACTGGCTGGGGAGGCCACGCCCTAATCACCTGAGGGGATGCAACTGCATATAAAGCTGGCTGGGAGGAAGCAAAGGGGGAGAGACAGGAAAGGGAGGAGCAAGGAGCTCTAGAGCCCTGCTGGCAGGAGAAGCTAGCAGTCTCCCAGGGTTTTGGTCTGTAAGATATGTAAATAGGTGGTGGTGGGGACAGGCACGAACAATAAAAGAGCACTGGTGCATTTACTTTGGAGCAGTCTCCGGCTGAGTTTGTGAAGGGGCCGGTAGCGGGCACCGCTACAGTATGTATGTATATATATCTTCTTACTATATGTTCCATTCTATGCATCTGATGAAGTGGGCTGTAGCCCACGAAAGCTTATGCTCAAATAAATGTGTTAGTCTCTAAGGTGCCACAAGTACCCCAGTAATTCTAAGATTTTCAAAGCTGTCTAAGGGATTTAGGCACTATCTTCCTTTAATTTTAATAGGAGGTATGTCTAAATCTTTTAGACTGTATTGAACATCTCAGCCATAGCACTCTATAAAGAAAAACTTTTCTAATAGGACAAACAAAAAGCAAACTGCAGTTGTAGAAGTTCTTTGGCACTATACAGTGAGTACAGGTTTCAAACCGCAAACTCCATGAGAAGTTCAACTTTGTTGAAGTCACGATGAAGTTGAGACAATGTGGTATTAGGATGGATGCAAACTCTGTGAATTAAAAAAAGAGAATCCTTATCATTTGGTCATGTTAGTTGCTTTGAGAGTGATGATTTCACCCTCCCATCTTTGTGAGACTCTCTTCATACACAGCATTTTATATCAAACCCTAAAGAACACTAGAAATTTAAAAAAATATATAATTACTCTCTGCTTATCATTATTATGATTTATACTATGGTAGCACTTAGGAACCCCATTCAAGATTCAGGGCCCCTGTCATAACTATAAAGGGAAGGGTAACAGCTCTCCTGTGTACAGAGACTCCAAATCCTTTTACCTGTAAAGGGTTAAGAAGCTCGGGTAACCTGGCTGACACCTGACCCTAAGGACCAATAAGGGGACAAGATACTTTCAAATCTTGGAGGGGGAAAGGCTTTTGTTTTGTGTCCTTTGTTTAAGGGGTTGTTCGCTCTTGGGACTGAGAGGGACCAGCCATCAATCCAGGTTCTCCCCATCTTTCTAAACAAGTCTCTCTTATTTCAAAATTGTAAGTAAGGCAAGGCGTCTTAGATTTACTTTGTTTTCTCAACTTGTAATGTACCTTTTACCAGAGTGTTTATCTTTGTTTGCTGTACTTTGAACCTAAGAAAGTGGGCGGTCCTCTGAGCTCTTTAAGTTTGATTATCCTGTAAAGCTATTTTCCATACTGATTTTACAGAGATGATTTTTACCTTTTTCTTTAATTAAAAGCCTTCTTTTTAAGAACCAGATTGATTTCTCCTTGTTTTAAGATCCAAGGGGGTTTGGATCTGTATTCACCAGGAGTTGGTGAAAGGAAGGAGGGGGGAAGGGTCAATTTCTCCTTGTTTAAGATCCAAGGAGTTTGGATCTGTATTCACCAGGGAATTGGTGAGAGGTTTCTCAAGGCTTCCCAGGGAGAGAATCCAGTGAGAATGGTGGCAGCGGGACCAGAGCTAAGCTGGTAGTTAAGCTTAGAAGTTTTCATGCAGGCCCCTACATTTGTACCCTAAAGTTCAAAGTGGGGATACAGCCTTGACAGCCCCATTGTACTAAGCACGGTACAGACATGTAACAAAGAGACAGTCCTTACCCCAGAGACCTACAGTCTTCATGACAGGATACAATAGGAGATAAATCTAACAAATAGGGTGGGGTAGGGTGGGAGGATGACAGAGCTGAGCAGAAAGTTATAAGTATTTGTGTTTATAAAAATAGTTTAGATTTATGGAAAACCTTCAATGTTCTTGTGCTGAGAAGGAATTAGATATTGTGGAGATGATTTCTTTCTCTGTCTCATACACATACTCTTATAGAATTGGAGATGGAAAAGGTCACAAGTCCATCCCCCTGCCAGTGCAATTGATTTCTGTATTTTACCCTATCTAGTTTCACTTTGGGAGGGGTAGAGGGTAGGAGCATGTCAGAAACTATTCTTTCAAAGTACCTTTGCCAGCCAGTTTATAAATTAGCTGTGGTGCTGGCTTAAATGGAAGTTGACAGTGGAAAAAAATCAATACATTCTTTTGAATTCATCGTAATCATACAGACTTTCAGGGTTTCTTTTTCCTGCAACGGGGAGGGATTGTTTGAAATGATGCCAGGAATGAATAAGTAAATCACAATTGAAATGCTACAGTGGTTTTAGCTGCATGGGGTCTTATTTTCTGTTTGCATGATGGTAAATAGTTGTTGCCAAGGTGGACTTAATGTACAGCAGATGATAGTGGGTTTTTGGTTAGGTGGGGGTTTTTTTGTTTTGTTTTTTTGTCTTCTGCATTTTGCTCTATACTTTCCTAATCTCTATTCCTGCTGCAACAGAAAAATCAATCGTCAAAACAGACTGACAATCGAGGTTGGCAAAACGTTAATGTTTGTTCACAAGAGATCTTAGATTGTGCACATTTTAGAAGTAGAACCAAAGGTGCAATACTCCCTTTGTAGGATTATTTTCATTTTCAGGGATTTCAATGGAAATGGGAGGTCCCCTTTATTGCCTTTTTTTGGTTTCACCCACCAAATCTACATCACCATGTCATAGGAATGGTAGATAAACAGTTAATGCATGGTCAAAATACCAGGCTTTGAAAATCTCTCTTAAAGGAAGGGAATTTTAAGTACTAGGGAAAAATCAGTTACTGTATGTTTTCACATCTGATGATTGAGAAAACCTAGAGTATCCTGACAATTTTAAGATGTTTATTTTTATCTTAATGATTGTTTTCCTGTGGCATTAAACACACCATATTCTGTCTCTTCTAAGAAGAGGAGATTGTGTGGTTTGCATTTCAGATACATTACTGTGGTGTGACGTTTAAAATGTTTTGAGTTCAGGTGCCATATTTATTGTTGTTGTAGCACCACTGGGGTCAAGGTAGTTACATGAATTTATTCCCCAGTTAGGTCTCAATAATGATCTGAAAATGCAGATGCTTATTTGAAGCTTATTTAATCTGTTGAATCTACAAAATTTGCTTGGTGGGCACATGAGGCAAGATGTATATCTGCTCATCTGATTGGCTTTGTATTCTAGCCAATTGGGAAGCCAACTGAGATCAGGTGGTCTTTTTGTAGTCAGACCCATCAGACAACAGCAAATTCCATTGGATGGCTAGGATTTGGAGGTGCAAGACTTTACTGAAGCTCCCATAGCCATGTTCTAACAACAGCGCTGGAGCGAATTCTTAAAGTATCTCAGCACTGCTGGTGTAGACTAGAACATGGAAGTGCAGAACAGAATAAGAATGAAAAATAATCCCTGGTGTGGGTGAAAAACTCAGTTAACATTTCAGAAACATCCAAAAATGGTGGTTCAGGTTCACTGCTTAGAATGAGCAAAAGCTGGAGCTGGGAGTGTTTCTGATTTTTTCCTAACTGGTTTGCTCATCCAACCTTTTTCTTTAGCTGAATTGTCAGTGCACTCACCTGGAAAGGCAAGAAAGCACAAGTTTTGTTCCGCCTCCATCTTCTCGCTTGACACTAATTATTAATTGTCATCCTGTTGGTTTAATTAGATATGTGATGGCCTGCCTTCTGCTGAGAAATGTTTTCATGGAACACATCACACAGAGTAAATTATATCCACATGGTAAAGAAAATAGTCTGTTAATTTTAAATTAAAAAGCCCAAAAACTTATGCAGCGAGTTTAAGAAAATATTTAACTAGAAATAATTCTTACTACTAAAAGTGGATCCATTATTTATTAGGCCCAATATTTGCAGGCAGTGCATAATCTCTGAAAATGCTCATCAATAACAACAAATAGCTACTGGTTCTCTACAGTAACTACAGTAATTATTCTAGTAGAAAGATAACATTTGCTGGGGCTTTTTCCTCTGAAGTGGTGTTTCCATTCTTTCTTAAATACATCAGACTGATGCCTTGATTATTTTCTAGTGTCTCTTGCCCTTTTACACAGCACTGACTGGAATGTGTTTTTTGCTTTTCCTATTAAACTTTAGTTGTTAATGCAGAGCAAATGTCTCCGTTACCGTAATATTGTTGCCTACTTGGTCCTATTTGGTTTAATGAGTTGATTTGTATGGTAATTAGTAATATTTCAAAGCTGCTGTTTGTTTACTTCAGCTACTTAAAAGAGTCTTAATTAAATATGAGTAGGAGAGTGGCGTTCAGAGTAAAATGCTTTCTCTCCGTGCTTGACATCTTTCCCTTTGGGAATGGTTAATAAATATATGCAATTTTTAAAATTTCTTTTCTCAGACCCAAATAATTATTATCACAGAAGAAATGAAATGACAACCACAGATGATCTTGATTTTAAACACCACAGCTACAAAGAAATGAGACAGGTAGGCCACAGAGAATGCGATTTCAGTTCTGGCATGTGTACACATGGGGTGGGTGGTTGTGTTGGGGTCCTTATTTTAGGAGGTTGAGCTCTGTCGACCCTTAGATTTTGTAGAGTATACTAGAGGAAAGGCAAACTTATGGGAAGTTGAGAACTATGCATTTTCCAAATCTATCCTAACTGCAGATAAGTCTTTTCCAAAAATACCTCTGCCAAGTTATTTTGTGAGGGCTTACAAAGGAAATTCAATGTCTATCAACAGAACTTGATATTTTTCATTTATTACCTTTGGACAGAATATTGGGGTGTGTTATAAACCATTATAGGAAATAAATTCTAGACCTCAGAAAGCAGGTTTCTTTTTTATGGTAACCTACTTTAAAAGGCACATGGCTTTTTCCTAACCATGCATGTTTTGGCCATATGGTAGATCCAGATCTCTCTGAGGTCAGTAGGAGTCTTTTTATTGATTTCAATGGACAGTGGATCAGCCTGCTAATATTTCCATCCAGTGTCATGTTTATGCATCTGTTATACAAATATATATTTAAGGACTTGTACTAACATTTTGGAGTTATTTAAGCTGAGCATTTTCCTCTCAAATGCCACAGGAAAAACATTAAAAAAGAGTAATGAGTTGAAGCTGCAAGAGAAGGATAGTTAGACTTTGTCACTAGCAAAATTGTGTGCATTGAAGGAGGTTTTTTATGGAGAGATATACAAAATAAAATATTATAAACCTGGAAAGATTATTTACAAATCAGAGCTTTATTGTGTTACAGTTTCAGCTGTGAACATACTGTCTTATCTGGATTTGTACATTGGTGTGCTATTCTCTAAAATTTTTGTAAGCTCACATCAGTATGAACACAGCATATTAAATATGATTTTCCTTTCTATTGCTGTAGTGACTATTATTACATCAAAATGGCTTTTGAAACTTTACATTTAACATTTATGTGACATTTGCAGCTTTAAAATTGGCATTTAATGTACAGTACTTTGAAATGTCAATGTGTTTTTAAACTTGTCTCTTGATGAAAAAATCTATCTGGCTACAAAAACGAATGCTGCAATATATGGCTAAAAGTCCAGCTTCTTTCTTTGTCAACCTTCCATCCAATCCTAACAGGTTTCTCCACAGTGGTGGTGGCATGTACCCATGCATGTTGTTTCAACAGTCTGCTCTTGTGACTATCCGGAGTGCTGAACATTGCAATATGCCCATTCCTTGATAGCGCACCGAGACTACTTGAGTAACAGAATTGTGGCATATTTCAATGTATTGTGTGATCATATGAATAAAACAGAGAGGCAGGGTCAGATTCCTTACTCGGTTACCCCAGTGTAAATCTACAGTCAGGAGTTCCCCTTCCCAAACTTGGTTCGTGGCTTGTTCAGGGTAAGCCCTTGGCAGGCTGTGAGACACTTTGTTTGCCTGAGCGTCTGCAGGTATGGCTGCTTGCAGCTCCCAGTGGCTGCGGTTCGCCGTTCTCAGCCAATGGGAGCTGCAGGAAGCGGCGCGGGCCGGGCCACCACTTCCCACAGCTCCCATTGGCTGGGAACAGCAAACCACGGCCACTGGGAGCTGCGAGCAGTCATACCTCCGGTAAACAAAACATCTCGCGGCCTGCCAGGGGCTTACCCTAAACAAGCCACGAACCAAGTTTGGGAACCCCTGAGGGTAACTCAGCTGAAATCAAAGGAGTTATTTTGGATTAATACCACTGTAAACGCAAATAAATATTAACTCAGGGATAAGGGAGATCACAATAGGTACCAGCAGGCTCATGCCATGTAAATGACCATGAACCAAAAGAAAGTTAATACTGTTAGTCTAATTTTAGATTAACCAGCCTTAATTATCTCCCTTTAACTTCAAATGGGGGGCGGCGGGGGGGGGAAATCTGGATTTATATCACCCCAGACATAGGTGTGGGATGTGCTAAAGAAATATTTCTTCCTGTCTTGCTCTTCAAATATAAAGATAATGTGCTTGGACTTGAAGTATGTGAATCATTATCTGAGTGCTGAATCTTCAGTGTATTTATACTGCATGAGTCATCATTCATTTTTATTGAGCAATTGTGTACTGAGTCACACGTTTAGTTCACTAGAGATTTCATGGCCTATATTTCTAGCACAAAGATTAGACAAATAGAAACTCAATTGGCATAATTAGTGTCAAGAACAATAAATGTAAATACATTTTAGATACTAATTGCACAAAGACAGGTTGGTCAGGTTTGAAATATCTTTGAAAAACAGCTTAAAAAAAGAATTATTTCCCTAGTTCTTCTATAAGGAGAAAATCAAGATGCGATTAAACAATGGTAAGGGCTGTGAACTGGTCAGCTGTGAACTATGTCCTTTGCTGGGCTTTCTCAAGTTGGGTGCTTCTGTGTAGTAGTAGCTCATTTTGTAGCACTCTTGTCATTTGGCAAGCAGGCAGACAGTTCGGGGTATGATTGGAGGAGATCTGATATCACTGCAACATACCTTTGGTGACACTAGAGAATTTAATCATTGTCTTTGAGTCTTTAAACAGACAGCCTGGCACAACAGCTTTAAGAGACATGTAGATTTCCCCATTCAAGATAATGTGTTCACGGTGCAGTTTATTAATGACAGCTTTGTTAACTTCTTCACTTCTGACCATGTTAGAAGAGAGAGAGAACTAATGTGTTTTCCACTCTGGTTGTTTATCATAGACAATAGAGAGGGACTGGCAGAAAGTGCTCCATGGACCACATTTTGGGAACCACTATCTTAGGCTTCAATGCATAAGCTATTTACAAAAGGCAGGGAATTTTACCCCATCACCTACCATAGTCTAATTTTGCATGCAAAAGTGCATTCAAAGCTCTCTGTGAAATCAGTGTGAACATTCTCCATGCATCTGAGAGCAGCGTTTAGGCTACAGTCTAAAAAGTATGTTCATATTACATTCATGTTTGTACATGAGCATGTTAGAATGACTTGCAAAAGCATGCACTCCCCAGAATAATTTAGGGAGTGGGCATTTGATCACATGTGGATGCCTGTGAATAGGATAATTAAGGCAAAACCCTTCTGCTAAGACAAAACTTCAGATAATTTGGGAGTAGATACTTTTTATTTCCCGCAAATATTTTTCACAGCATTTTGTGCATTGTGAAGAGAAAGGGGCCTGAACCAAAACCAGGAATCCAAACATCCCTAAACTTCAGAAAAGTTCAGATCCCAAATCTGGGCCCTGTCTCTATAATGGACTGTGAAACAGATGCTCAGGGTCTGATTTTTGTCTGGAAAATATTACCTGATTTCAGTGAGAGTTACGTGTATCCTCTGGGAGAGAGAATCGGGCCCCCAGCAGCCCTGAAATTTGAGAAAGTTGATCCAGTGTTGCAGGTCAGGCCCATCTTTAATTATGGAGGTGGTATGATGATGATATTGAAAATTCCTCTGAATTCAGCAGGACTGTGTATGTTACCAATAGAACAGCTCCACTGGAGGGTGAAATACAATTAGGTCTGGAGGCTCAGAGCAAGGTCCACCACACCCCCTTGGCACCACCTTAGAGCGGTGGGGAAGGGGGCAGTCCTGCCATTCTGAGAATCTTGTAGCCCTCAGATGCAACTGAGGTGGTTTCTGCATTAGCCCCCAAAAGTCCAGTGAATAAAGGGGATCTGTATTTAGGCCTGGGAAGGAACCACAGGACTGGTCCCTCAGTGGATCCAGTGGTCCAAAACCCCTTCACAGAGTGCATGAAATGGCAGTGGCCACTGTTCCAGTCCATAGGCCAGAAGAGTATTTTCAGCTGAGCTGTATTGCAGTCCTACTGCTTCCCCAAAGATTGGGGGGCCAGTTAGTTCTGGACTCAAAACACATTCTCTTTGTGTGAGAAGGGGAGAATCACACCTGCAGAGCCCAGTCCAATGGGCAGAATTTATGCAATTTTCCCGGTGTGTTAATAGAGTAAATAATTGCTGATTACAAACAAATAACAATTGTCAATTAGCAAAATTGCTCCTGGAAATGCTTTATAACCCTGCTGGTTGTTAATAACACTCAGACTGCATATTACCATAGATTGTCTTTGACAGTTTGTGCAGGCAGAAGGAAAAAGCTGTCTGAGGTTTCAGATGGCCTATTGTGCAATTTGTATTGTAGATAGGAAAGAAAAATGAGTATGAAAAAATGTTCATTCGTATCCCTTATTCAGTACCATCACCCACTCCGTGGAAGACCTTGCAGTGCCAAAGATCCAATGGCATTTGTTAAGGAGAGAGATTAACACAGAATACTTCGGTTGTGTGGATTATTTTGGAACACTGTTTATTCTTTATAAAATTCCAGGGTGAGGGGCTGACTCAGTTTTAAGAGTAAAAAATAAAAGTTACTTCACAATTGGCATCATGTGCACCAAATTTAAATATAGACTGAATTTTTATTCCTAGTTTATAAACCCCTTAACATTTGAGTTTATATGGAAACATGAACTATCTTCATTATACCTGCACTGCTGGGCTCTGCTAGAATATTAAGAGATAATGAAAAATGTAATTCATGATACACCTAGGCCCCAATTAAAAAATTAAGAATGTGCTTAATGAGCATGTTGTGAATATTTCCATTACTTTAATGAACATTGATTTCAGTCCCCAGTTCAAGGGCCTGATCCAAGGCATACTGAAGTTAGTAGAAATATTTCCATTGACTTCAATGGGTCTGGATCAGGCTCACTGTGCTCTCCTGAATAAGAATAAACTTAAGTTCTTAAGTGCTTTCCTGAATTGGGGCCCAACATATTATAGTGATAGGCATATTTGAGATGTTTCAGCTCTCTTCCCCTAGTCCTTCATGAGACTCTGCATTGGTCAGAAGCCTGTTCCCACATGGAAATGGAAAATGGTGGAAGGGTCTGCCCATGTGGAGTTTTTTGCAGAATCAAAGCCCAGGTAAAAACCAAGATGGATAGATATGAGTCAAATACATCTTTTCATTATCTATAAATTAGGGAAAGGGAATTCCATCCTGCTATAATAGACCTCCTTTCATGTTTCACAATGGCTATACATTTTACTCATTCTGCTTTGTATGGTAGATAATTCAAGATAAAAAGGATTTGCTTTGTACAGTAAATACGTGTTTCTGGTCCAGTGTCCTATTTACCATGCCTTTTGAGACTACCATCAGAAGAACAGTCACTTAAACAAAATATTGGAAAGTTTTAAAAATTATTCTCAAATGTCCATTTATAGTTGGAGTAACAAATATATTCAGGTGATATATTCTAAATGATAAGAACAGAGGATAACGAGTTACTAATATACAAATTAAGACTAAATGAAAAAAAATAGAGGAGGATGGGGTAGGGGAGCGAAAAGTGATAGGGAAGTCATGGTTAATCCAAAAATGGTTCTAGTTTTATTCCATTTATTATAGGTAAGGAAAGTTCCTCATAATTATTTTTCATTTTAATTGTCACAAAGTGACCCTTCAAATGTGAACTCATACTTAAACAGGAACTTGCATGATAGGGTCCCAAAAAACTGCTGACCAGATATCCTCAAACAATCAAAAATTTATGTATGTGCCAAGATAAGTAGGTGAGCCAATATTAGTGTTACTGATCAGCTTATTACACCTACAAGTTGTACACACAGCTAGGCTATGGATCCACATGCTCTTATTACAGTTAACTCATCTTCCCTTTCTCCCCAACTACAATTGTTTCATCCACCCCCTATAGCTTTTAGACGATAAGCCCTTTGAGGCAGTTACTGTCTTGTCTTTTGCTAATTGTTTGTACAGCACCCAGCATGATGGGGTCCTGACCTAGTTGAGGCATCAAGAAGCTACTGTAATATCAAAACATTGACGATGGTGGTGATGAGGATGAGGTTGATGATAGTAATAAAGGAATTTGTCTTAAATTAAGACACTGGGAGTGTCATACTGCATTGCAATTTCCAGATGAGGATGGCCTGAAGAAAGTTGTTCTTTTGTTTGTAAAATTGGTCTGTGTGTTTAGTGAACTTATGAAAATATCACATCATTTGCAATGTGATTATAAATAGAACCGCACTCTTTTGGTGATGTTTTCACCAACGTGAATTGTGTTTTTCCCCTTAGATTTGCTAAATTGGAGCCTGGGTATTGGACATATCTAATTATTGCATTCCTAAAATCGTCAGCCCTGTTGTCATTGTTTCTAAATTAATGCTGTGAGAACAAAGTTATGTTATGCTACAATACTTGTTCAGTAGGGTATGTACAATCTAGTAAAGAAATGATTGTCTAATCCATATTCCCTCGGATTCCAATTTACAGTAAAATCCTTATTTCTTTAAATAATCCTTTCCAGTGAACAAAATCAATGCAACAAAATCAAGGCCCTTCTTATCATTCAAAACTATTTTCTTTTATTTCTTATTAGGACCTCATGCTTTGAACTCACACATTTGTTTCTTTTAATCCAACTGATACTGATCCTGGGAGTACAAAAATTGAACTCAGTTGTCACTAATGGTCAAGCAGTATTTGGTGTACAACACTGACATGAAGTTAATTTACAACAAGACACATTACAGTACCTATCAGTTCAGCAGATTTGAATGTCGTGTACATTAACTGCATACTCAACAATAAATCTTTGAATTTACAGATGTGCATGATAAAAGCCATCACCAAGTCAGAGAAATATTACCCCATATGAAAACTGTTAATCTCACAAGCCATGCACATATCTGATGCTACCTTGAACCAGGCAATGTCACATGTAGTAGCATGTGACCGGCCTTGCTACAGATACTTAACCCCAAACCTCTGAAAAGTTTTAAGGATCAATAACATATTGAAAGACGAGAAGTTTCCTATTCTTTCCTGTATGTCCGCACACAGTGGGGAGAGTTCAGATTGTGTAGCATGCTCTCCCCCTTTCAGAGGCTTGTCTTGCTATTCTTTCCACATCCATATCAATTCCTGCTGTGATCCTACCACAGATTTCATACTGTAATCTGAGCAGGATTGGACTTGGTCTGTACTCAGGTGAAGGCCTCCAGATATAATCAAAATGCTGCAAAAATGTTTTTAAAGGATTCAACAAGTGATGTTCTTCCCTCTTACAGAACCAGAACCCCAGTATGAGGTCATGGGTACAGTGCTTCTGGAGGTATCCTCTAATGGACTGAATATTTGGCTAGGTGCCTGGAACCCATACATTCCAATCACAACTCGTCACTAACTCTCTGTGTCACAGACCCCATTGTAAAAAAAAGAAGTAATTATTGTACTTACCTATCTCACAGGAGTGTTGAGAGGATTATTTATGTAATTATTGTTAGTGCTTTGAAAATGTCAAGTGTTATATACCAGGAGTGCAAAGTATTATTATTTTTATTTATTTTTATTATGACTGTTCCTCCGCTCAGATCCTTAATTTAAATAATGTCCAATGTAAGAAGGATTTTGAACTTCACCCACACAGTGCTGCTCCAGCAGACTGTTATACTTGTTCTAGCTGAATGAACATTTGCTTCTGAGCCAGCAAACCTATAACGATCTCCAAAATTGATTTTTTCAACAATTTTTGTTTTTCAGCTTCAACTTTTCATTTTAACATCTCTGAAAAATTAAAATGAATATAGTATTTTTCCCCTACATCTACTTTTGAATCATAGAATCATCTAAACCTTGAATGAGTTATAATCAATATTTTGTATATATATTTAGTACATATATATAAAATATACATAAGTGCGTCTTTTTTTCTTTGACAGTTGATGAAAGTTGTGAATGAAATGTGTCCAAATATCACGAGAATTTACAACATTGGAAAAAGCCACCAAGGACTAAAGCTGTATGCTGTTGAGATCTCAGACAACCCAGGAGAACACGAAGTTGGTTAGGATTATATTCTGATTAAATCTATTTCAGGATGATTTTATTTTATTTTTTTAATTCCACACGTCTGCAGCAATTATCGCTGAAGAAACTTAGGTTCACTGCAGCAGTGATTTTCAATGTGTGTGGGAGGAACTTCAGCGGAATATTTCTGATAGGAGAAGAAAAGATTGAACATAAATAGAAGACATTATGGGAGTGGGATCCAATTAATTAATGCTTATGGGTTATAGTATTTACTGATTTTAAAAAAATAGAGTGGATTTTAGTACAGTGGAATGTGGTTGGCTTACAGCACTCAAGACTGAAGTTTCGTGTTTATCTATAGAATATGTGTACCAGAAGTACAGGCAGCTCAAATTTCCCTCCATTGCCTCACTAATGTGTCTCAGCTAAGTTCTGGGCGTAGTGGCTGGTGGTGAGACTGTAGTTCAATCTACAGACCCATTCTGTCTCTCAATTGAGAATACCAACAAGGATGCTGATATGATGATGGGACTGGTATGTAGAGGGGAGGAAGCTTCAGCTGACAAAAAGGATGTAGCAATGCACATGATGGGAAGCTGTGCAGCACATGCTGTGTGCATCACGGTGCTGCCCCTCAGGTGAAGAAACTGCACAATGCCATTTACAGTCAAGGTTTAGCTGTATCCATGTGGCATGGTCGAGCTCTGTGATCTGGACTGAGACCACCAAGTTACGTCACATAAGCCACTGAAGGCTTTAACATTGTAATGAATATCAGCTATCACTGACCAGTCACTTTGGCTGAACTTAGACCAAGGCGAAAGGTTCCATAGCATAGTATGGAACTACTTACCCATTCAGTCCATTTAGCCTTCATGGACTACATCCACAACCAGTGTCCCACAAATGCCCATGTAATAATTATGAGTATGTCTATTTCCCCGGGCAGAATCTAGCATTTAGATGGGAAATTACTACACACAAATGGTTGCAACCTCAAATATTGCAAGCATATTTGTGGAGGCCACTTGAAAAATCTAGCCAATGGTCTTCATATGCAGTATATGCACTCCTTCTTAATTCATTAAGTGGCAGTTTAGTTCCATATTTCCTAGTCTAGTGACATTCTGAAGGATAGAATTATTCCAAACACTACCAATGAGAAGCAGAGAGAACCCCCTTCTCCCACCATGTGCCTGTGAAGGAAGAATTTGGTCCCTAGGTATAATAGTCTACAGTATTTTTTGTTAGTGGTATACATGGTTAAAGGGGAGTTGAATACATCCTGTCAGAACTGTGCAGTAAAGGACAACAAATATTGTGGCATTTAATAAAACCTTGCCATATAAGTATGAATCATTTTTTTAGATGAATGAAAGAGTGCCTGAGGTCAGAGACGTATTCTACAGTCAGCAAGAGACTCTGTATTATGTATCTATCCTTTATTTATGGAGAGATTTGTCATGTTATCTTTTAAAAGCATAGATCTTTTAAAATGGTGTTCCATATCAGTGTTTTACTGTAATTGGAAAATACAAAATAATGTAATTTAATTTTGCACCATGTTTTTCAATGGAAAATGTATCCCAAATGCTTTACATGGTTGCTGTAGATATTACCAATACGTAATTAAGTTATAGATAGGAGCAATGGGAAAGAGAAATTAAGTGGTATAGGTAAGTTAGAAAAGATACATTTTTTCAGCTGAGATATATTTATTTTGGGGGCTGACCCAATCCCTGATGAAGCCAGTGGAAAGGCTCCCATTGACTCCAATAGGTGTTGGGTTGCATCCTTGGTTTGCTCCACTAACTACATTCCTGATCTATTTGTTTTCAACAGGTGAACCAGAATTTCGCTACATCGCGGGGGCTCATGGTAACGAGGTGCTTGGACGTGAGCTAATGCTTTTGTTAATGCAATTTATGTGCCAGGAATATCTGGCTGGGAACCCACGCATTACACGCCTCATTGAGGACACCAGAATTCATCTCCTTCCTTCAATCAACCCAGATGGATATGAGATGGCATATGAAGTGGTAATGTGACTGTCAACATTACTAGCAATTATCTTATTCATAGTAGATTGGTAAAATATGCTCCCATTATCATGATTTTTTTTAAAATGACAAATTTGGATGTAATCAAAATGAACAAAGCCAATAAAGCAACACTCCAAAAGGAAAAGCAGAACCCACTGAGATACCTTATTCAGTAAAAACTGGAGTGAATGGTGTTCCAGATGATCTCAGTTGCTGTGAGGGCATGTAGGGAAAGAGGCTGCCTGTAGGATAGCCAGGACACACACACCATATTGAGTAGTGTACTTCAATATGAACACCTTCAATTGAATTTGGAAACCTAATGGTAGTCAGTGCTGTCTATAGTTCACATGTGTGATGCATACCACATGAGAAGCACAGCTAAGCAAACAAACAGCTGCAATCTACAGCAGCTGAAAGTTCAGACTGCTCTTTAAGTGCAGCCCAGTGGAGAGCGCATTGCAATCCTTTAATGTGGAAGGAACAAAGGCTTGAAGAATTGTGATATCCACATCCAAGTGGAAAAATTGCATGCCCCCTGATCAGGTACAGATGGAAAAAGCTATCAGGGTTACTCAGTAGATGCCAAGAATCCAAAAGGACCCAATGTTTGTAAATCTCAGTCTCAACATACAAACGTTCCCCCTCCATAAATCTGTCACCTCTACCATATCATCTGGAAATTTTCCTTCATACCTGTTCCAAATAACTGTTCTTTTTATATTTTTAATTTGAATGGGTACTAGATGATGACAAATTTTCTTCTGGTTCTGAACTTATATGTCAACATCAAGGTCAAAACCCATGACAATTCATGAAAGCCAAAAATATGTTTATGAAATTTTGAGTAATGAAGATGAAATAATATGAGTGAAACTAGTAAAATGAAATTATTGAGATAGATATGCCAGTTAAATATTACGGAATTTAATTCATTCACTTTGGGGAGGAGTTTATAGCTAATAGTTAATAAATGACAATGATCTTATTTTAATATAGCATCTTTCATTTCAAAGGATCCCAAAATGCTTTATAACCTTTTCTGATTCTATATAGACTTGTGGATAATTGTGTGTGTATGTGTATCTTTAACACAGTGGGTCAGATCCTTGACCTCTGCTAAGGTTACTTTGTGCTCTTGGAGTGACACAAAGAAATCTTAAACTGGCCATAAAAGGGCTACTGAAGATTTCCCAATATAGACAACTTTATACCACTTTCTCTAGCGTGGAGGGAACATGTCAGGGGCAGGATGGGACTATGATGGAGCACATCGCCTCATCCAATCAAGTCATCCCTGTGCAACTTCCAGCTGCTGTAATTTAGAGCAGTCCATAGTCCACTACAATTAGAATGCATTCTCCTGCCAGAGAAGTACAGTCACTCTGGGGATAAAATTCAGTACAGACAACAACACTCCATAGCACTACCAGCCAGAGATTGAAGAATAGAGTAGTTTATCCAGTTGGAACTTCAGCAGAAAGATTAGGCAGACAGAATATAATTCCCAATGCTAGAATTAGACCAAGATAGCAAACACCCATTCTCCAAAAGAGTTCATTGGGATCCTACGTAGCTACAAACATTTAAGACCTTGAATTTATGTTTTTACAGAAAGATGCATGCAGCTATTCAATGTAATACAAGCTTGATTGGTGAGAACACAGTGAATGATTTGAAAATTTTGTCACAGGGTTCGGAATTAGGAGGCTGGTCTTTAGGAAGATGGACTCAGGATGGCATTGACATCAACAATAATTTTCCTGATTTAAATACCATGCTTTGGGAAGCTGAAGATAGGAAGAAGTTTCAGAGAAAAGTCCCAAATCATCATATTCCAATTCCAGAATGGTACCTTTCTGAAAATGCTACAGTAAGTACAAATAGCTCCAGAGAGAAAAGGAGAGACAAAAGAAGGGTGGGGTGAACTAGGGATGAAACCTCATGAGATATTTGTATAAAAGCTTTTAAGAACCTATATCTTATTCAGAAACTTAAATCAGGAAGAGAGATGGTGAATGATAGACTATATTAGTACATATAACAGTGCATATTAAAACTTATATTCTCCCCCCCGCCTGACTTACATTAACTTCATTTTTTTAAAATAATGAGAATTATTGTAATTATATTAATTTTGTGGGTATTTGTTTGTATCTCTTGGCCTCTTTTTTATGTATTTTGGAGAGACTGAGTTTTCCATCATTTTAATGAGACATCTCCATAGTTTTGTGAGATTGCAGAGCTCTTTAGAAAGGACAAGACTAGTGATCAGGCAAATTTCCCCTAGGTTTCCTACTGAATTTTCCTTTAAAAAACAAAAACAAAACAAAACAAAAAACCAAAAATCTCTTAACAGATCAGACTCCATCTTAGATGCAAAACCATCTCAATGACCTGTGTTAATTGCACGTATTGCAGAGACATTAAGTCATTTCTGAATGTCTTACTTTAACAGTGGCCAATATTTCGAATGGCTGAATATAGCCATCTTGAGATGCAATGAGGGGAAGGCACTTAACCCTTGTGAACTCTGTGTGATTTAGAAATATTTTCATACTTAAGCCTCTTTGGTTTGCAAATTCTTTCATTCCCATTGACACGAATGGAGCAGAGGCAGGGCCCTGGCTGCTGCTACAGAGTGAATGCACTCTCACTTCTGAACTGGCTGTTTACCAGTTTGGCACCCCAGCATAAGGTTGAGCAATATGAAGGCTGTATTTTATACTGGTTGCTAGTTGCCTCAAGGTATACAGCCAGTGGTCACAAGGAGGAAGCCCTTTCCCTTTCTCACTCCCTTTGTGCTAGCTACAGGGAAAAGGGTGACACAGGAATTGCAAGGCTCTGTGCTAACAGAGAATCCCCTTGTATTCAGATGATCCTCCCATTGCCAGCTATGCTGGCTTTAGGGTCACTTTGCACCAGTGGCTTAGCATTAAGTGACCAATGTGCAGCTGAAGATTGAGGCCATAGTTTTTAAGTGATGGGAACTTTTCAGCTAAATCCTCATATATTGCTTTAGTTTTAATATCACACAATAGAATATGGACAGAATTAAAGAAGGAACAAAATCAAAAGCTTGACTCTGAACTTCTTTGAATTCCTGAGAGTTTGGATTCAAATCCCTGGCTCTCATTCTACTCTCTATAGTTCAAGATCCAAAATCCAAATGGCCGTTTTCCAAATTCTGGTGCAGAAGCAGCCAGCTTTTCATGAAAAATAAGTGATTCTTCCAAGAATTTGGCCTGAGATGGTAAAAATTTCATAAGAAAGGGGGACTTTTCAAGATTTTCATCATTTTGCTTCAAAATTGTATGAATTCAACTCATGGGATTTCAGGTCTATTGAATTAAAATCTGAACCCAAACCCTAGTTCTGATTTGGCTTCAGACTGTATGTTAAACTGAATGCATAATTGAATACCATCTCTTTGGTTTCTGTACAAATAAGTGAGGACTACTGAATTTCACACCCCTCAACGAAGCTGTTGTTTTCCATCTAGGTGGCAGTTGAGACTCGAGCAGTGATAGCATGGATGGAAAAAAATCCATTTGTACTGGGTGGCAATTTACAAGGAGGAGAACTGGTTGTTGCATACCCATATGATATGGTCAGGTCAACATGGAAAACTCAGGAGCACACACCTACCCCTGATGACCATGTATTTCGGTGGTTGGCATATTCATATGCCTCCACTCACCGACTAATGACAGATGCCAGAAGGAGAGTATGCCATACAGAGGATTTCCAGAAGGAAGATGGGACTGTTAATGGGGCCTCATGGCATACAGTTGCTGGAAGTAAGTCTCTGAAGAAACTTTGCCTACGATTCATTGTAGAACAAGTGTGTTAAATGCTATAACACTGTAATTTTATGGTACTTGTCACACAATTCATGGCAGGTAAACACCTACACTGAGAGAAGAATATACCTTAATGAAATTTACCATTTTGCGTTTCATAAGATGTTCATGGATTGACAGAGAGCTGTCAAAATTTCCTTGCAAATACCTCATTTACTGATGATGTTTTCCAGAGGTGTGCATGTCATACCTTATTTATTAAACACATTTAAAAGTTGTCTGTCACAAGTGAGTCACATCAAGTGTCATACGGTCCATTCCAAAATTAAAATTGATCCAAAAGAACCAGCCAGACCAAGACAGGAAGGAACCTGCCAACTTTAAGCATGTCACTCCACCAACAAAATATCCCATTGCCTTACAAAAGATGGAGGAAAAGAGTAGCAGCAAATGCCACAATCAAAGGAGTAGCCCCAAAATGGTCAATGAAGAAATCAGCGAACAATTCCAGTGGCCCTCTGTTGAGAAAGTCCTGGGCTTCAACTTGGTCAGTGCTCATTGAATTTAGGAGCAGATCTACCCCAGCTGGCACTAGCTGCAAGGTAGAAACATACAGGAAATGATGTTGTTCAAGTACTACTGCCATATTTTATAAAGGACTTTATATATTATACTAAAACACTGAATTGCACACATGGGCATTTCAGCAGACGGAAGAAAACACAAACTGAATGAGTCATGCCCATATCCCTTGCTTCTATCAAATGGAGCAAGAGAGAAGTTGCACTATGCAGTGGTTGCAGCCTAGGGATCAGTTTTAAGGGAAGATTAGGAGCCCATACAATAGTAATTGGCCTCAATCACTATTTGGGTGTGCTCTTACATACCCAGTCAGATTCTTAGCAGGTTACACTCCATTGATGTTCCAGCCTCCTGCCCAAAATCTTCATTTCTAAAGCAATGAGTTCTCTGTAGGGTTAATGTGTGAGGGCTGTGGATGTCTGTATGTCATCTCTTAAATGGCATTAAGTATGACAACAATAACAACTGGAAATAGACACAAGTATGTGGTTTTACAAGCCATTTTCTTTATTAGAGCTCTTAGTCTTGCTTGTTATGTACAGCCATTCTCACTGTATAAACAGTTCCAAGTATTGGAAGCTACTTTTGTTGCGTTCACATTGGATCAGGCAAAGTTTAATTTTGGCTGGCACTGAAGCCAAGCAGAAACTTATTGCACTTTAAAATATTTTTTACTGTGTTAAAAACAACTGCAGAAATTCAAGGGAAGAGATGTTGAACTGTCCACATCACAGAAACAGTTCCTGCAGATAAGTGTCCATGCATTATGCAAATTCTGAAAACTTGGAAAGTTGACTGCCTAATTATTGAATTTGACTTTAATTTTCTTAAATGCTGTATAAACCTGATTATGAATCGATACAACAAAGATAAGGCTCACTGTATCACTAACAGCTATGGCATTAATTAACTGGCTACAGCATAGACGCTGAGTAGTATATGATTTCTTAGTAACAATTATATGTTGAATTTGATTCATTGAATTTGTTTTGTTCCTATATGATGCTTCACATTATTTTTAATATTCTGTTTTCTGGTGTTATAATGAAGTCTCTGGGTTTGTTTTGTGGGGAGATTACTAAAATATTTTTTCTAGTTTTCTTCTTTACACCCTTAGCACTGGACTGGGATTCAGGAGACCTAGGTTCTATTCAAAGCTGTGTCACTTTCCTGCTGGGTGACTTTGGGCAAGTCATTGCCACTCTGTGTGCCTCAGTTTCCCCATCTGTAAAATGGGAATAAGGATACCTCCTTTGCAAAGTGCTTTGAACTCTGCTGATGAAAAGCACTATATGGGAGTTAGGTATTTAGGAATAAGCTGACAATAATTACTAAGGAGACTAGTGAAAATGATTTACGTTAATCATAAACCAAAAAAAAATAAATTATTTTTAACAATTAATACCAAAATCCTCATTAAGCAGAGACATGACCTGAGTTGTTACATTCACCTCCAAACCCAGATCAAAATTGCCTCTGATTTGAGGGTGAGGAGTTGCCTGTCTGCTATGTCGACATTATTTCTACCTAGTCACAGATTTCCACATGGGCTGTTCTCTCAATTATTCCTCTTTTAAGCCCCACAATTGCAATAGTTATTCATTCTTAAACAGCTGTTCATGTAAGCTCTGTTCCCAAAGTGACATTCCTGAAAATTGCCCAGGGTCTGCGCTAACTTACTCTCATGACGTCCAGTGGGCTTCTCCACAGCCCAAAATAGCTGAATTCAAAGCTGTTTAGCACCCTCCCAGCCCCCAGCCATGCCCTTGGTATGCCCCTACACTGAGGTTTGTGAAGGAGCTGGTGTACATAAACCCTGCACTGAGCGAGTTGCCCAGAAGCTGTCTACCTCCTTTATACCACCACTGTCCCTGGAGGTGTAGTAAGCTGACTGAAAACAGCTTCTGCAGATATCAAATGCCTCAGCATTTCTTTGGTATTTAACTACATTATTCCCTGTTGCATACCATGGGTTGCCATGAAAATGATCTCATCAATCATTCTAAAAATAACATCTAAGCAACATATGAATCTTATCTTTGATTTCCAATGCCGGATTTGGGCATTCAGACAATATATGGAGAGTTCCTCTTGGCAACATTAAGCCATTATTTGAAGGAGACGTGTGGAAACAGAGCAATTACTGTGTAACACAAAACATTTCACCATAAATTAGCCAGGATGAAATACGATATGTAAAGAGAAAAAATGTTTGTGAGCATTTCTCAAATGGAAAGGAATCAGGCTTCTGCAGAGCAGCATATGCCAGCGTCTGAAATTTTAGTCTTTCCCCATCAACAAACATATAAAAATTTAACATCTGTGTTATATAATCCTCCTACTCTGCATCCAGAAGGCACTGAGGGCTCATTAAATACTTGACTGCTGCTGCATAATAATTGGATTGATTGGATCTTCTTTTTTTTTTTATTCTCTTCAATCAGATATTCTTGGTGAATGTATTTCCTGCTAATCTTTGCCATTAGGAAAGAAATCAGTTAATGATCATTAATGAGCAATTTTCTTCTTAGCCTTAAAATATTTTTTTAATTATCAATTTGTTTGGATAATGAGAAATTAATCTTCATTCCTTCCTTCCCCCTGCATTCAGCCTGGCCATTGAATTGTGTTATCTGTGTTAGTTTGGAGAATGTTAATAAATGAAATTCCCCAAAGGGAGATTCTTCTGAAAATCAGCAGAGAAATGGGAAAAATGGAAATGGATTGGAGATCTTCATCTACATACAGACGTCCCCAGTGCTCAGGGGAATCTGGGGCTTTAGAGTTTGGCCTATTATAGAGACTGGAGTTAGCTGGGAAGTGTGGACACAGATTGGAGCTTCATCAAAGTTCAGGAGTGGTTGGTTAGGACACATCGTTAATAGAAATCTTTATTAGGAGACAACTATACTAATTCTGCAGGAGCCTTTATAGGAAACAAAAGTGCAGCCCATAGTTCTCTCATGGGGCCAGGCTCTATACATGGAATAGGTCACCCAAAGGACACGAAATATAACCTGTATGGCCTTAACTCTTCTCTATTCCCTTATCAGTTATATATGATGTCCTCATATGTACTACTTCTGTAGGAAAATATTTGTACTATTGACAATCCTGTTTATTGTTAATAACTAAAAACCAAAACCACACTCACTCTGCATATGGTCATTTAAGAATGGTATAAATGAGCTTATTGCCCCCACACCAGTGCTCACTAGTATCAAACGACCATTCTTCTTCAACACAGTGTAGCTACTGAATGGTCTACAAGAGTTTTCATAGCTCCAGGGAAAATACTCTGCTACTGACCCCTCTGAGTTAAAATCTGCACTATATCAGCAATTGTGTTTCTGTGGAAATTTACAGGAAAAAGATGGCCTTTGAGATAGCTAAGTCCTTCCCCCATTTAGTGCTTTGATGGTGAGGACCATGAGAAGAATTCAGCTCTCAGTTTTACTGATGTAGATGAAATCAGTGGAGTTACTCAGACTTCCAGTTTCAATGAGAGTAGAATTTGGACACTGGACCTTGAACTGTACTTGGGATTGGAATGGCAGCCTATGTAAAGGGTGAAGAATTGGTATTATTTGCTCTTGTCAGTACATTCCACTTAGCAGACAGGATGCTGCATGCTGTACCATCTAGTTTGTGATCTGACCGTCTAGGTTAGGCCAAGATATGTTGTGTTGCAATGATCCTGCCTGGAGGAGACAAAAGCTTGGAACACTGTAATTGGGGCATCAGAAGGGAAGAACATAGTGAAAACTGACATTTCTGGGAATTGCTACTATATGGGCCTCTAGGTTTAGTTTAAGAGTCCATTAGTGTTTAAGAGCCCATAAAGTTTAACACCTCCTGGACAACTGAAGAACATACACCTCAGTAGAAGGTGAGGTCATATTTCCTCCAAGTGCTTCCTTCTTTTCCATCAGCATCACATCCATCTTATCTGGAATAAGCTTAACCCAACTATTTTTCATTTAAATCCCAAATTCTGTTAGACCCTGGGACAGCAAGAAGGTGACCCCCGGTTTCTGCAGTAAAGGGGACTGAGATTAATGCTGGGTGTCATTAGTGCATTGATGACAAGGTAGTCCATACTTTCACACACTCTCACTCAGCAGTCTCACATATATGTTGAATAAGAGAAGTGATAGGACTGAACCCTGCAGAACACTGCGACCAAGACTCCCATAGTCTTCAAGAGGCTTTCAACAAGGCTTATACTGGGGATGAGTACAGCAGCTACCTCTCTCTCTCTCACTCTCTTTTCATCTTGGTTTATCATGCACTGCGCTACTCAGTTCCCTGTTTTAAATGGGATAAAATGAAGATGGAACTTCTTGTCTATCGGAAAGTTAAAAAAGTTTGCAGCAAGTTTCATGGAGCTATTATGGCTTTACTTCTTTAGAAGTGCAACTTAGATTTTGTTTCTATTGGCACAATGTTATGAGAATCAATTAATATATTCATGACATTTTGAAAACAGCATTTTCCAGCCAGAACTGCTGTCTACTTTGCTATTCGGATGTTCTGCCCTTTGATTAAAGTAATCAGGTCTAGTGCACAAAATAAACAAGAGCAGCATTTTGTGGTTCTAAAGCTTTTCTTATTTTATTGCATCAACAGGTATAAATGACTTTAGTTACCTGCACACAAACTGCTTTGAGTTATCCATCTATGTGGGCTGTGACAAATATCCTCATGAGAGCGAGTTACCTGAAGAATGGGAAAATAACCGTGAATCCCTGATTGTTTTTATGGAACAGGTATGAGAGAGAATACCTTTCCCAATTAGAATTCACTTTGGAAGGGGCCTGAGTGAAAGTCTTCATTTGAGGTTACTATGGCCTGCTGTGTTTTCCCGTAGGTAAGGTTCCAGTACAATGGACCCATACAGTTTTCAGAGGTACTTACTATAAGCTTGCTATTCCTCCAGGTTGTTCACAAATCACCTTCTACCTGATCCTGCAGAGACAGATGCCAAAGAGTTCAGAACTGTGCTGATTCCTGTAGGAGCTCTCAGTGGGTTACCCGCCACAGCTTTTCAAATCAGCCAATGGGATTCAGACACATATCTTCCATTAGCTTAATTATTTATCTTCCATTGGTTCTCATGCTGCTTTGGAAATCTCAACCACAGCACTTACATTGTATTACGGGGAGAGTCCAGATTTGACCTTTAAAATCCAGAGTGCTCCTGCTAAAAAGAAACTGAGAAACTTTGTACAAACAGTCATCATTTAAAACACTAGAAAAATCTTAATATGCTTTCTTATCCAAAGTTTTCCAGTCCTCCACACACCCCTTGTGATCTCACAGGGCTAATATGTTTCATTTCAGTTTAGTAAAACCCTGTCTGGTAGCTAATTCTTTCACTAAAGTTTTCAGTTATGATCTGTGTTTTGAATTATGAACATTTTTGGCATTTATCATAGAAACCTTACCCTTCAAAATTACTAGCAGAATTTTTTTAAACATCAGACTATTTTAGTTTAAGTAGACAAAATAATGAAGCATGTTAAAATTTTACCAGAATGCAGTGCTTGATTAAAAACAATCACATGAAAATCCCTTTGACTTGCTGCTTTTAGTTGTTTTATATGGCTCTCTCTTATGTTCAGAACTACAGAAGCGCTAAAAAAATGTAAAGTCAAAAGTGGCTGATACCTAGAAAGGGGGAGAGGGATAGCTCAGTGGTTTGAGCATTGGCCTGCTAAACCCAGGGTTGTAAGTTCAATCCTTGAGGGGGCCACTTAGGGATCTAGGGCAAAACCAATACTTGGTCCTGCCTAGTGAAGGCAGGGGGCTGGACCTTTCAAGGTCCCTTCCAGTTCTAGGAGATAGGATATCTCCATTTTTAAAAAAAAAAAAGTTAATTTTATGTTGATAGTGATATTTCAAAACTATATTATTTGCAAAGAAGAAAAAAAAACTAACAGATTCTGTTGACATACATATATTTTATATGCTTTGAGAATGCATGCCATTTTACCTACTGCAATACCAAACATGGGGAGAAGACTTAGATTTTACATTTGAGAAAAAAGTTATTTTTAAATTTGGGGATAGATTAATTATATCTTTCATCCAAGATTTTTGGCGGAAGAGAACATAGTCATTATCAAGTTAATGATTTGCTTTCTCATGCAGATGTGACTGTTTGATGATTCTATCGTATTTGCTTTTCACTTATGTAATAGGTATCCATTTATTTGTTCCATTACTAGGTTCATCGGGGCATCAAAGGCATGGTAAGGGATTTATCTGGAAAGGGAATTCCAAATGCCATTATTTCAGTAGAGGGTGTTAACCACGACATTCGCACAGGTAAAAAAAAAGCTGCATGCTGTACCATCTAACCTTCTGGGTTAGGCTAGGATATGGCGCGTTGCAGTGATCCTGCCTGGAGGAGCTTGGAAGACTCTAATTGGGGCATCAGAAGGGAAGAACACAGTGAAAGTTGACATTTCTGGGAATTGCTACTATATGGGCATCTAGGCTTAGTGTAAGAGTCCATAAGCATTTAAGAGCCCATAAAATTTAGCACCTCCTGAACAACTGAAGGACATACACCTCAGTAGAAGGTGAGGTCATATTTCCTGCTATTTCCTCCAAGTGCTTCCTTCTTTCCCCTCAACATCACATCCATCTACACAAATCAGTAGATTTATTGCAAACAAATATAGGGCTGCATTGTAACTGTACAGTCTGCCCCGAGGAAGGGACCGCACATAGTTCCAGTGCCCTAGGAGCACACCAGAGAATGAATTGTCAATTCCCGTGCTCTGGAAGAGGCATAAGTAACTTCACTCCTTTTCATGGAGTGGCTACTCTGACCAGATGGTAGGGAGGAAAGTCAGGGCTCCTCCTGCTTCTTGTCCTTCTCCGCCCCCTCCCTGCCTACTTGCTTGTAGTGGTGGGTATTGGGTAAGTAGCCCCTGCTCTCTCCAGCACAGTTGAAATCACAGTCTGAACAAGGCCGAGCTGAGGAATAAGGGAGGCCTTATTCCCATGGGTGGCCAAGTGAGGGCTGTGACTGTCTAGCCAAAAGTAATTAGAGCACCAGTTCACAATAGCAAAGGGTGCTTCTGTGGTTATTAATCATTAAGGGAACAGGAAAGATTTAGAGGTCTGGTTTGGAAGAGCATGAAAAGGTGAATCAGCTGTTGTAGGAAGGGAGGAACCTCATGTTCTTCAGAGGTTTGCAGTTCCACTGTGCACGCTTGGTGGAATCTCCACAGAGTTCAGTGCAGCCCAGTGGGAGGGTTACTCCATGCAGGGTGAATTGCACTCACAGAGAATTGCTGGTCCAGGTTTCTATTAAAAAAAGAAAGTTAATAAATGTGTGCGTTCAGTATTTTCACAGTATTGATTAAGCAAATGTGAGCTAGCAAATTCAGAATGAACCCAGGGCTATTCAGAGGAAGTTAGATCAAATAATTGGACTTTCCCAAAGTACTTTTGAACTAGTTTATTATTATGATTTGTATTGCAGTCGTAGACCAGTGTCCCTAGGTGCTGTGCTAATACAGATCAAAGAGGTGGTCTCTGCCTTGAGGAGCTTACAGTCTATGATGAGCGACAACAAACAGATGAAAAAACACTAGGAAATGACGACTCAGTGATAGACAGTGGTCTCAGCACACTAACTGCTTAATAGTTGTCAGGATTTTTGTAGGCATCACAACAGAAGACCGTTTTATGGAGGAATTTGAAAGAGGACAATTAGGTGGCTTTGCAGATGTTTATGGGGAGCTTTGCCCAAGTGTGAGGTACAGCATGAGAAAAAGCATAGAAGTGTGTGCTTGAAAATTTAACAAGTGGGTGAGGAAAACTGGCATCATTTGCAGAGCAAAGTGAGAGCTGATTTTTGATATGAGAGATGGTAGGTAGGGTGGGGCTAGCCTCTGTAGAACCTTGTAAGTGAAGGTGAATAGTTTGATCTGGTAGGGAGCGGAGAATCAGTGGTGGGATGCAAAAGGAGAGGTGATACGATCAAAGAAACAAGCCAGGAAAATGATCTTTTCAGCAGCATTTTGAATGGATTTAAGTGGGGGCAAGATTGCATTTATCAAGACCAGGGAAGAGGATGTTGCAGTAGTCGAGAAGTCAGATGATGGTGACTAGATAAGAGTTTTAGCTGTGTGGCTGTAGAGGAAAGGCCAGATCTCAGATGTTATGTAGGAAGATACGGAAAAATGTTTGTCTTTGATATGAGTATCTAGAGAGAGAGAGCTGAAAAGAAGATAATATTCAGGTTACACACCAGAGTGATAGGGAGGATGATGGTCCACAGTCACTGAAAAAGGGGAGGGAGGCTGGTGGGAAAGTTAAGAGCTCTGTTTTGGACATGTTGAGCTTAATCTGGTGGCTGGAGATCCACAAAGAGACATAAGACAGGCTGAGATTTTAATTTGGACAGAAAGAGACGGGACCAGAGTGCAGAGGTAGATATGTGAGTTGTTTGCATTGAGATGATAGGGAATAGCATTAGCTCTGATGCTGAAAAATATAATTCTTGCAAAGAGCACCCCTAAACCAATAACAGTAAGATTCTATCAATCTCAGAAATACCATATGCAGAGGTAGTAATTTTGAGAACAAATGGAAGGATATGATGGCTATATACTCAAGGGTTGGTTTGGTATTAGAATGAGGGAAAGCAATTGGCAATATGGTATACTGGGTATTTCATTATCTACCCATCATTGAATTTAAGATCTGCTTGTACAGTTATATGACATAATTAAGCAATGGGGGGCTATGGAATACCAGGAACTCCAGCAGTTTTAGGTAAGCAAGCTCTGAGTCTCAGATATCTACTATTTTAGGTTAGCTGACTCAATAATAAATCTCAGCAAATTTAGCTCAGTTATGATAAGTTTTATTTCAACTTTACTATGTCTCTGCTGTGAGAGAAAACATTGAATTGCAGATATTTAGTAAGGCAATTATGACTTCCTTATATATTTCAAAATGGGGCCACTGGGAAACAAAAGAGGGAATGAAAATAATCAGTTGTTTTTCCACTAACTTGGAAGGCTGTCATAAACTGTAGGTTGTATTACTCTGGTAAATGTTTGTTGGGAACTGAATAAATGCAATGGATGATTAATCCAATCCCTCAGTATACTGGGTTACATTGGATACCACACTGGAGAATAGTGGATGATTTAGAGAAAATGCAAATGTGAGTGCATATGGAGAAGAATCCCAGATGAATGTAAAATAATACAATTATCGAAGACCCCACAATCTGCTCTGTAAACACTCATGGACTTTGAGGAAGTTTAGGTGCAGGTCTGAATGAGAATAGTCTGGTTCAGGTTCACTGCTAACTATTAATAATAAAAAGAGAAAGTATAATTGTTGTTCTTTTCCATAATCTGGGAAGTGTAAAAGTTGATACTCTATTTATAGATGGAAACATAGAACTTCTATCTTGCCTTACATTAAATAAATAAAGGGGACGGGCTGTCATTGGTCTTTGAAACTAGAAATTTTATGGGGTAGCCACTAAGCTAAAATGATAAATAAAACTGCAGAGAAAAAAATTAAATTATCTCTGTGGGACCTCATTCTTCTTTCTTTTATACCTGTTTAAATCGGGACTATTTCCATTGAAGCAATGGATTTGCACTGGGTCAAAATTGGTTTAAACAAGACGAGAATCTGGGCAACTTTCTTTACCTTTCTAAGTTTTGCTTTAAAATGGATTATAGCTATTAAGTTTTTAAAATGCCTGCTATTTTCTGACATGTAAACTGAGTCAACTACCCTATTAAGCAGGTAAAAATTGTGTCTACAATAAGCTTTCTATTAATATTTACTTGTTCCAGGAAATTTCTCCTCTTCCTTCTCAAGTGCAGAAAGAACCTTCTGTTACTTTCACTTAGCGGTACAATATATCTAATGGGAGTAGAAAGGGGTGCTGATAATATTAATAGGCTAATTGAAATGATTGATTTTGTGAGACCAGGAGCTTGAACACATTGTTCTTGCTGCACATACAGCTATTGATTGGGCAGAGGTGATGACATGGTGTTATGGTTACATGTGAACAGTGCTCTGTCAGTTGACCCTGGGAAATAAGTTCATTAGTTGGATCAACAAACCCATTTGGACCCTTTTTTCAAAGAGCAGCTTGCAGAGGTCATTGGATAGTCTCTTATTGAGATATAAAATTAAAAAGTTATTTAGGGCCTGATTCCAATGACCTTATTAATGTCAAGTAGCACCTTGCTCCTCTTATTATTCCATTGGCTCCTTGGGTGATGGGGTTCACACATCCCCATTATCCAGGGCTGTGCACTCTAGCCCTTAGCGTTAGGTGCACAGTCCTGAGGAAAACGTTCACCAGCCCAAGAATAGCATTGGGAGGCAAAACGTGTCAGAGGCACCTTTCTGAGGTACAGTTCCCTCTCTGCATCCCCTGTGTTCCAGGCCTTTACCAGCAGCAAATTGAAACACCACTTGTGCCAGCTCAGCTGGATTGACTAGTCTATTGAGGGGAGGGAGTAGGTGAGTGCACTATGCCCACTTACCTCTGCATGCCTAGGTACAAGGTCTGGGTAGCTCATATAGAGGTGTAAGGATGGCAGGGGTATATTTTAATGGACTTGTGGACACCTCTCTTCCCATTCACGATCCCACACCCTCTCTCCTTCCATAAACAATCAGAGAACATCCCCGTGGCAATTTCAGCCAGTGCTGTCATGAAAAGTAACTTTGGGAAAGCACTTCATGGATTTTTAGCTGTCTATTAAAACATTTAGCAGCAGGAAATAAGGAAGAAAAGTCAGCACTGCATGTCCAGCTACTTTTCAGCAGACCCCCCTAAAAGCTCCATGGACAAGCTGTGGCCCAAAGACTGCTGTTTTGAGAGCCTCTGATGTATATAGGATCCTAGCCCATTACAGGGACTCAATGTCAAGCACAACCTACACTGCTATCAGTTCTGGAAGGGTTGGTGATTTCTTTGAAATTAAAATAGAAGTGGAATATTTCCCAAGTAAAAAGACCATTTAGCCTGTGGCAACTTGTCACACATGCAGCAAACAATTAGTGTTTTACTAAACTCAAAGGTTTTGGTTTATGGTGAGCCACATTTTCTGGTTTTGTTTCATATAGTTTCACACCCATCTTTTGAACACCAAATGTCAAAGTGAAACTCAGTCAGAATATTTCTCTCTCTCACTCTCTCTCTAGAGCACCTATCACCATTGTGCATAGGTTTTGCATGGTTTTCAAGCAAACCATACATTAACTCAAGTTTGCATGAAACTCTCATAGAAAGCTTTATTTCAGAGAATCTGATAAGAATTTCAGGGTTTGTTACAACATCCAAAACAAAGAATTTGCATCTAACATTTCTCTCTAATTGTTCAGAAGATTTTATTATTTTAGTGGATTAACTAGTAACAATACATTATCTTGAAATACTGCTGGCTGCTGCCGAGTACTCAACTATTTATGGGCGTATGCCATCATTCCTTGGGCAGGCAAATTAACTTCATAGTAGGGCCCTTTGTTGGTAATAAAGCATTGAGATAGATCTTCCCTTGATGTAAATTAGAATAACTCCACTGACTTAATGGAGCTACACCAGTTCACACCAGCTGAAGATCTGACCCATTATCATTTATTCCTCCTAATTTTTATTTTATTATCTGTCACATTGTTAACAAGATCAAGGTGCCTTCTGGAGTCTATTTACATATATTAATTTGATTATCTTTCATAGTTTTGTCATTTTAACTGAGTACACTACCTCTTTATGTTTACCAAAGTACCTCTTAATATTCTCTAATCCCCCCATATTTTTGATCACATATCTCTACCATCTGTACAGGAATTTTTGATGTAGTCCATTTAGCCCAGAGAATGAAATCTTTTAGTACCCTGAGGTTAAATGATGGGTAACAGGAGCAGACTCTTGGAATGAACTCTACTTGTTTTAAAAAAGAAAAGAACTAAATAAGTAAATCCTGCCAATAGTTTGTATTTAGCTCTATAATTATTTCCTGGTGGTGGCTGAATGTGTAGCTTCTTTTATAGTATTTCTCAAGCTATGCTAAAATACATGACAAATGCTTGTCAGAAATGTGTGGCTGCACCAAAGGGTAATTGTGTTGTTAGGCACAACCTTGTACAAAGTGCAATGCATAAACTGCACCACCACTGCAATATCCTACAAAGTACTGTGGTCAAGAGACGCCTCTCTGAAACAAAATTTCCTTTGTTTCCTCTCGCTCCAGAGAAGTAAGTAATTTGCTGCTGGCCTATACAACACCAAAGTACCAGAGGCGGATTACAGTTATGTGGGGCCTTGGGCCAGAGCAAGTGGGGGCCCCTCCCTACCCCTTCCCATTTTTCCAGGGCCCCCCAATTGGCCAGGGCCCCTGGTACAGGCTCCATTGGCCCAGTGTCTAATGTGCCACTGTAAAGTACGACACCCTTCTGCACCAGCATAGCGGTGCTGGCCAGCATAATAGGAGTGGGGCAGTGTCAGGCTACACTATTCCCCACCCACTTGGTCTGGGAGAAAATATGCCCAATTACTCCTGTGCACCTGCAACCAAGGTGGATTCTCAGGGCCAACCCCAAACCAGCTCTAAGTTCCTGTGGTGGACATGACAACAGTACAGGACAGGCACAGTGAAGCAGAGCTCCATCATAATCCCTCCCCACCTGACTCGCCCCCTAGCCCCAAGAAGTGCACAGTAGCCAGACATCAGCAGAGAAGATGGCCCATCTCCTCTTTTAAAACACTCTCAAACTGGTTGGTAGAAAAATGAGCAGTCTTTACTATACGAGAAGTAACTTGACCAGGTGTGTCAGTTATGTACTCTTTCACAATAATGCCAGGAGATGATTAGCACTGTTTTTGTTGTTGTTTTCTTTGCTGATTCCTGCTATGTCAAAGCATGATGCCTAGCTTATCCAGCCCCCAATATACAATGTTATACCTTTACATAGATGCAAGGAGTAAAGTATATAGCCCAGCTCTAACACAGTCTGTCTTCTTATTCCCAGCATACAACCTTTTCATTTTAGTTGTCTTTCATTTTAGCAACATTGTATTGTAAGTCACCCAGGGGCAGGGCCAATAATAGTAATGTCATTTCACATGAACATTACAATAACTCTTCCTGTGGAAGATGTCACGTTTCTTTGTATATAGTATTACATCCTAGGAACCCTTTAAAATGCACTCCTCCAACTCAGCAGGCTTTACTAGGGTAAACTGTAAAACAAATACGGTTTTACAGCAAGCAGCTACGTTTCATCCCCTCTTCCAATCCATTACTAAACATATTCGCTGCTTAAAATAACATCACTAGAAGACCAAAGAATGTGCAAATTATTGGGTAAACATTAAGCCATGAATATCTTCTGTAAGGAAAATCATTAAGGCCCTGATTCAATGAGGTACTGAAACATGTGCTTTGCTTTATCCGCGCAAGTAGTTCAATGGATTACAATGGGACTACTCATGTATTTAAAGTTAGGAATGTGGTTAAGTACTATGCTGAAAATCATGGCCTAAATTACATATGAAATTGCTCTCGGTCGGTGAATTGATATTATACAGAAAAAACATGATTGCTGTATGCTAAGGGCAGCAGGAAAAAGACCCCCAAGTTGCAAAAGTGGCATATCAAGGAATTGTTGTGGGTGTATTTTAATTCAACAAAATATCAAACTGTTAAGATCAAACTTAGTTTGGCTGATGGTGTTGGGAAACAGGTTATTTTAAACCCTTCTCTCAGCCCTGTGTATATCTCATCTGTCCAGAGAATTCTGTTTGGGAAATCAGTACTATTTTTTATTTACAGTTACAGAAAATTAGGATGGGAAATGAAAACTGTAATGGATTTTCACGCTGGTATTTTGTTTTCATTGCCAGCTTCATTTATATTTCCAAGGTGAGGGCTACATAGTCACACATGGGAGCAGCCAGGCCTATGTTACTTTTCCAAATTGTGACTTAACTCGGAATAAGCACATCTTAAATTTTTTTTCCAGTTAAAGGTCATTAAAAAGGCTCCAAAGAAGGAACGGTGTTTTGCTTAAAACACACTGTTATTGAAGCAGGGCATTGTCAAGCAAATGCTACATATGCCATGGGCCAGATTCCTGGAACCTGTTCCGTTGCTTTGTGTTGCTCTGGTGGCACAGGACAGCTAGCAGACCGGGCCACCTGCTTGGTGTAGGGGAATCCTTGGGTGAAACAGCCCCAGTGTAGCTAGCCCTATACAGCTCCTCTCATGGCCCCCAGTGTTGGGATGTGGCTGGGGAACAGGACATGAGCAGAGCTCCACTACACTCCAGCAATTCTTGAGTGTGCATGAGCTCCCAAGGCTGTCTCAGCTTATGCCAGGAGCCAAACTGCCACTCAGGTGATTCCCAAAATTGGTGGGAAAGAAGGTTGTAAAGAAGGAATACAGCCACCTTTGGTGCCCCACTTCTTTCTGAGTCTGGTACCAACCACAGCCACGGGGAGGTTAACTGGACATGAGGCTCAAGTCCTATCTGTATAACTTCAGGCCACAGACCTAACATAGACCTTTATAAGTGTTGACAATTCTGTCAAAAGAGCAATGGTCTGAAAATCTTCTTTTCTGATTTCTTTAACAGCAAGTGATGGGGATTACTGGCGTCTCCTGAACCCAGGAGAATATGTGGTCACCGCAAAAGCAGAGGGCTATACCTCTTCCACCAAGAACTGTGCTGTAGGTTATGACATGGGAGCCACTCAGTGTGACTTCACAATCAGCAAAACCAACCTCGCACGAATCAAAGAAATCATGGAGAAATTTGGAAAGCAGCCCATTAGTCTGTCAATCCGACGGCGCAGGCAGAGGGCTAGGCAGAGGCGCCAGCGAAGATAGACTACTTTCTCCGTTGTAACACATGGCGTTTACAAGCTCTGCTTAAATCAAAACCAGTTATAGTAGTAATTTACATAGCCAATATTAATACGTTTTTGTCTATTCGAGGAGTTCTAATTGGTATATTTGTACTGAAGAATCTCTTGAGCTTCCAGAACCTTTTCTCCTCTGAGGTTTTAGGGCTACCGTTTTTTTCCCCTGTACACAATCCAGCTAAATGGGCATTGGGTGGGGGACCGATGCAGGGTGGTGGAATGGAATCCTCCCCTCTCTGTTGTGCCAACATCACAGTGCCACTGTTTTTCAAGTGTTGCTATGCTGTGGGATTTGCGCCTTACTGACTTTTAAGTATCAAAACTGCACAGGAAGGTAGGATGGATTTTCAAGAATAATCCACATCAACTTGGGTGGGGAGGGAACAACTAGAGAAATACAGGACAGCTCCTCAGTTGGTGTAAATCAGCTGCAGCAGCTTCAAAGTTGCTATGTTGATTTACACTAGAGGAGGGCCTGGCCCTACATTTTTAGTTTCCTGTCAAAATTCTAAGAAGAAACATACCATCCCTTGGATACTTGGTAGCAAGAATGCAAGTACAATTCTGCTAAAACCATGATTATTGCTGTTAGAGCTTTGCCTTACTCAATACGGTCTTATGATTCCTGGAAAAGATGATCACCAAAGTATCATTCGGAGTTGAAGAAAATAAACTTCAGATAGAAAATCTTTGGTGAAAATTCGTCTGCTATATTTAATTTATTTCTTCTTGTCAACAACTAATCTTGTACATGAAGAAAAGAAAGACAAATGGTTCCAGAATCAATAATATACACTAAAGGCAATCATCAACCCTTGCATAATAACTAGTTTTAGTCCATCCTATGGAAGGTATTCCAGACATACTTGTTTTGTAAATACCATTTAACAACAATGCTGCCACAGCTGGGTCCCAAGGAAATAGCGGGACTCTCATTAAATTCTGTATTATTGAGATGGTTGCATTATTTATTAAGAGCATGAGTCTCTCTCTCTCTCTTATATTACTGAAGTATCCAGGGTCAAGGCTTCTTAAATTCCACTCCAAGGTGCATTTAAATTGGGTGGTAAAGTCCCTGAATATTTCAGTTTTCTGGTGCAAATCTTGGTGCACTTTCATTTAAATTTAAAAAAGCAGAGGCTTTCAATGAATTGAATATGAGGTTAGACTAGATGATCATAATGGTCCCTTCTGGCCTTACAATCTATGAATATGTAAAATGAATAATTTACCCCCCATGTTATTTATTTTGATGTTAAATTTTATTTATTTCACCCTGTCCTCATCCTTTTAGTGTTCAATATGCCACAAATTTTTGTAGTGCCAACACCTAATTGCATCAGCAAAGTTGCCAAGGAAGACCTGGAGATTTTGGGGAGGAATTTGCTCAGCAGTGCAATAATTAGTAATGTTGATATTTAAACAGACGTGTAGATTTCAGATCCAGCACCCCTAGTTAAAATACATGGGGCAGTTCACACCACACCTACTTAATGTTTCAGGTTATTGGCAGACTCAAAGCAACATTGAATGGGTTTATACTGGGTTCACCTTTAGAAGGTTATCTTCAAAACCATAAAGATTAGAAAGGTACATCTTTAAAAGTGAAAGCCTAATTCTGGAGCACAATTCTGCTGCAAAGGGTGGATTCCATGGCAAATTCTGAGACCGTGGAATTTCAGAATGTATGTGGCTTGGGGACCATGGCATCTATTGTTTCCACTTTTTCTTCTCCAGTACTTACTCCTGGTATTGACTTTTGATGCTGGATCTTCAACCAAAACATTTATCTCTTACTGGAGGCTTTCTATGTTACAAGAAAACTGGGAGGAAAGATCAAACCAGTATCTTAGATGCCTATATACAAATGCGAGAAGTATGGGTAATAAGCAGGAAGAACTGGAAGTGCTAATAAATAAATACAACTATGACATTGTTGGCATCACTGAAACTTGGTGGGATAATACACATGATTGGAATGTTGGTCTGGATGGATACAGCTTGCTCAGGAAGGATAGACAGGGGAGAAAGGGAGGAGGTGTTGCCTTATATATTAAAAATGTACACACTTGGACTGAGGTAGAGATGGACATAGGAGATGGAAGTGTTGAGAGTCTCTGGGTTAGGCTAAAAGGGGTAAAAAACAAGGGTGATGTCATGCTAGGAGTCTACTACAGGCCACCTAACCAGGTAGAAGAGGTGGATGAGGCTTTTTTTAAACAACTAACAAAATCATCCAAAGCCCAAGATTTGGTGGTGATGGGGGACTTCAACTATCCAGATATATGTTGGGAAAATAACACAGCGGTGCACAGACTATCCAACAAATTCTTGGACTGCATTGCAGACAACTTTTTATTTCAGAAGGTTGAAAAAGCTACTAGGGGGGAAGCTGTTCTAGACTTGATTTTAACAAATAGGGAGGAACTCGTTGAGAATTTGAAAGTAGAAGGTAGCTTGGGTGAAAGTGATCATGAAATCATAGAGTTTGCAATTCTAAGGAAGGGTAGAAGGGAGAACAGCAAAATAGAGACAATGGATTTCAGGAAGGCGGATTTTGGTAAGCTCAGAGAGCTGATAGGTAAGGTCCCATGGGAATCAAGACTGAGGGGAAAAACAACTGAGGAGAGTTGGCAGTTTTTCAAAGGGACACTATTAAGGGCCCAAAAACAAGCTATTCCGCTGGTTAGGAAAGATAGAAAATGTGGCAAAAGACCACCTTGGCTTAACCACGAGATCTTGCATGATCTAAAAAATAAAAAGGAGTCATATAAAAAATGGAAACTAGGACAGATTACAAAGGATGAATATAGGCAAACAACACAGGAATGCAGGGGCAAGATTAGAAAGGCAAAGGCACAAAATGAGCTCAAACTAGCTACGGGAATAAAGGGGAACAAGAAGACTTTTTATCAATACATTAGAAGGAAGAGGAAGACCAAAGACAGGGGAGGCCCACTGCTTAGTAAAGAGGGAGAAACAGTAACAGGAAACTTGGAAATGGCAGAGATGCTTAATGACTTCTTTGTTTCGGTCTTCACCGAGAAGTCTGAAGGAATGCCTAACCTAGTGAATGCTAATGGGAAGGAGGTAGGTTTAGCAGATAAAATAAAAAAAGAACAAGTTAAAAATCACTTAGAAAAGTTAGATGCCTGCAAGTCACCAGGGCCTGATGAAATGCATCCTAGAATACTCAAGGAGCTAATAGAGGAGGTATCTGAGCCTCTAGCTATTATCTTTGGAAAATCATGGGAGACGGGAGAGATTCCAGAAGACTGGAAAAGGGCAAATATAGTGCCCATCTATAAAAAGGGAAATAAAAACAACCCAGGAAACTACAGACCAGTTAGTTTAACTTCTGTGCCAGGGAAGATAATGGAGCAAGTAATTAAGGAAATCATCTGCAAACGCTTGGAAGGTGGGAAGGTGATAGGGAACAGCCAGCATGGATTTGTAAAGAACAAATCATGTCAAACCAATCTGATAGCTTTCTTCGATAGGATAACGAGTCTTGTGGATAAGGGAGAAGCTGTGGATGTGGTATACCTAGACTTTAGTAAGGCATTTGATACGGTCTCGCACGATATTCTTATCGACAAACTAGGCAAATACAATTTAGATGGGGCTACTATAAGGTGGGTGCATTACTGGCTGGATAACCGTACTCAGAGAGTTGTTATTAATGGTTCCCAATCCTGCTGGAAAGGCATAACGAGTGGGGTTCCGCAGGGGTCTGTTTTGGGACCGGCTCTGTTCAATATCTTCATTAACGACTTAGATATTGGCATAGAAAGTACGCTTATTAAGTTTGCGGATGATACCAAACTGGGAAGGATTGCAACTGCTTTGGAGGACAGGGTCATAATTCAAAATGATCTGGACAAATTGGAGAAATGGTCTGAGTTAAACAGGATGAAGTTTAACAAAGACAAATGCAAAGTGCTCCACTTAGGAAGAAAAAATCAGTTTCACACATACAGAATGGGAAGAGACTGTCTAGGAAGGAGTACGGCAGAAAGGGATCTAGGGGTTATAGTGGACCACAAGCTAAATATGAGTCAACAGTGTGATGCTGTTGCAAAAAAAGCAAACATGATTCTGGGATGTATTAACAGGTGTGTTGTTAGCAAGACACGTGAAGTCATTCTTCCACTCTACTCTGCTCTGGTTAGGCCTCAGCTGGAGTATTGTGTCCAGTTCTGGGCACCGCATTTCAAGAAAGATGTGGAGAAATTGGAAAGGGTCCAGAGAAGAGCAACAAGAATGATTAAAGGTCTTGAGAACATGACCTATGAAGGAAGGATTTAGGGGAGAGAAGCTAGGTGGCTGATTGGTTGGACAAAAGGTTGCAGCATAACCTTATTGGCTACCAAAGGGTGCCAACCTGCACTGGGAAGAAACCTCCCTCTCCCTTCCCCTTAAGATTAGAACAGGACTCGGTTTTGGGGCCTTGCTGTGGGCATCATGCTAGTTACTTTTTAGAGCTTGATAGGAATTTTTCCTTCACTGCCAGATTGGCCTGGGGCCAGCATGGGGGTTTCTCAACTTCCACTCAGCAGCCCAGGGACACAGTAAAATTCATTTTGTCACAATTTGGTAGGTGCCTAGTTCACATACTTGTTCGATATGGGGTCTGGTTCCCTGGTAAACCAGAACTGGAGGTGGATTAGGAGAAGACATCTCCTAAAAAAGCTGGAGAATGGAGTTGGAACTCTTAATGTCTGGTACAATGAGAAGACAACCCCTGTCCCTGTCCCCGCTCCCTTAACCCTCAGGTGAGGGGAGGCTGATAAGTTGTTCCCAGCACTGTTGCTGGAACCCCAAGAGTTGGGGGGCTGTTAGCAGCCCTCCCCCAGGAGATAGAAATTATGGAAGGGGGGATAACTTGCACTGGATGGGTTATTCCTGGATAATTCACAGATGTGTTTCTTAATAAAGCTGCAGCCTATTTAAACCATATTCCTGGTGTCTTGTCTTCCTGTGCCACCCAGAACAAATATACATCTGCAGCTGTGTACATGCACAAGTACAGGAGCACGAGTCACCAAAAACTGAAGTTGGAAAATATAAGGCAGGACTTGTTACTCTGATGCCTATGGAGATAATTAATAGTGCCTCCCTGTAACAGGGTGCCCGTTGTGCTCCTGCGTATCCATCCCCTTGGCCCTGCTCCTCACAGACTCAGGGACACTCCAAGCTGGTGCAGCTCCCATGTTCTTTATTTGTGTCCATTTCCCACCAGCAGTTGCCTACTATATACAGGCTATTTACCATGGCTTGGGCT